TCTTCACAGTTAGAGTGGCCAAGGTCTGGAATGGGCTCCCAAGGGAGGTGGTGCTCTCCCCTACCCTGGGGGTCTTCAAGAGGAGGTTAGATAGGCATCTAGCTGGGGTCATCTAAACCCAGCGCTCTTTCCTGCCTATGCAGGAGGTCGGACTCGATGATCTATTGAGGTCCTCCCTCCCTTCCCTAGCATCTATGAATCTATGAATCTATAAAGCATTGCCATATAGCCATTTTATTTCCTCCAACTGTGGGTCCCAACTTTCAGTAAGAGGAGGCAGAAGGACAGAGTGAGAGAAAGACTGGAAAAAAATAAAACCACAGGCTGACTGTCAATACCTGCAGTAGAGTTTGGAGAATGTGAGGAGGACCAGTGTTGTATGATGCAAAGTATTATACTTCCTCTGGAAATGACCTCATTCCTTAGTCTTCACCCAAGATTCATTATATGTATAATAGAAAAATACATTGTTGTAAAATTTACCTCTCCCCCCGGAGCTCCCTTAGAATGTTAAAACCATAGGATGTACTCCCTCCTGCACATAATCTAACCATGAGAGAGTCCTCCATCACTTTTATTTTAATTAAAAAATCATTAGCAGGGAGACTTTCCAAAGTCACAAAGAGAATTTAGAGACTCACTGGGAACTGGCTGCCTAATTCCACTTCATGCCTTTGAAAATCCCTTCCCTCCCTTCTGATGAATGTACACTGAGGCCTAAAGAACCCATTTCCAGATGTGAAGCTGGATTTATGACACTGGAAGCACTCAGCAACAAAAGAACTCTGTAATTATCATTTATGTTTTAGTTCTTTCAAACAGGCACGCTCTTACAAAGGTTGTGTGTTGTGTTTTGGTCCCTCCACTAATAATCAATATATAGGTACAAAAAGGGAGATGATTAGAAAGAGGGGCTCATTCTGAAAAGCAGATGCCCATGAGTTTGCAGAAATTTTATTTTGCTGGAACCTATTAAATAAAATCATAGAAAATTAGGGTTGGAAGGGACCTCAAGAGATCATCTAGTTCTACCCCCTGCTCAAAGCAGGACCATCCCCAACTAGATCATTCCAGGCAGGGCTCTGTCAAGGCAGGCCTTAAAAACCTCCAAGGATGGAGATTCCACCACCTCTCCAGGTAATCCATTCCAGTGCTTCACCACCTTCTTAGTAAGAAGATTTTTCCTAATATCCAACTTAAATCTCCTTTGCTGCAACTTGAGACCATTGCTCCTTGTTCTGTCATCTGTCATCACTGAGAACAGTCCAGCTCCATCCCCTTTGGAACCCCCCTTCAGGTACTTGAAGGCTTCTATCAAATCTTCCCTCTGTCTTCTCTTCTCCAGACTAAATAAACCCAGTTCCCTCAGCCTCTCCTCAGAAGTCATGTGCCCTAACCCCTGAACCATTTTTGTTGCTCTCTGCTGGCCTCTCTCCAACTTCTTCACATCCTTTCTGTAGTGGGGGGGGGGGGCAAAACTGAACACAGTATTCCAGATGTGGCCTCACCAGTGCAGAAAGAGCGGAATAATTACTTCCCTCGATCTGCTGCCAACGCTCCTACTAATGCAGCCCTGTAAGCCATTAGCCTTCTTGGCAACAAGGGCACACTGCTGACTCATATCTAGCTTACTGTCCACTGTAACCCCCAGGTCCTTTTCTGCAGAGCTGCTGCCTAGCCAGTTAGTCCCCAGGTTGTAGTGGTGCATGGGATTCTTCTGCCCTAAGTGCAGGACTTTGCACTTGTCCCTGTTGAACCTCATGAGATTTCTTTTGGCCCAATCCTCCAATTTGTCTAGGTCACTCTGAATCCTAGCCCTACCCTCCAGTGTATCTGTTACTCTCTGCAGCTTGGTGTCATCTATGGGATCTATGGGATGGATTGCTGAGGGTGCAATCCATCCCATCTTCCAGATTGTTAATGAAGATATTGAACAAAACTGGCCCCAGGACGAATGCTGGGGACACTCCACTTGATACTTCCTGCTAGCTAGACACTGAGCTATTGATTACTACCCATTGAGCTTGACAATCTGGCTAGCTTGCTCTCCACCTGACAGTCCATTCGTCCAACCCATACTTCCTCAGCTTACTTGCAAGAATGCTGTGGGAGATGATATTAAGTCTTGCTAAAGTCAAGGTATATTATGTCCACTGCTTTCCCCGCATCCACAGAGCCAGTTATCTCATCATAGAAGGCAATCAGGTTAGTCATCTTAGAGGTGTTAAGTGTTCTCAAAGTATCAGGCTATGCTGTGCAACTAGTCTGAGTGACTTCATCCTACAGGAGAAAAAAGAGAGAGAAGAGTGGCTGTTTCTTTAAATCCATGTTACGCTAAAGATTTAGTCTGAACGCACTCTGGGACTTGTTTGGTCTTGCTATGCTTTGACCGTCTAAAATGTCTTCATGAAGTTCAATACATCTTCCTCCTCACACCTCCATGATATCATTATTCATCACACATTTTCCGAGGCAGAAATGTGAGTCATCGAGTTTGTCTGCTCTTTATCTAGTGGTAGGAATGCTTCACAGTTTGAAATTACTCTTCATTTAGGATGAAATTGCCAAATTGCATTTTGCATGCTTGTGCTGTAGCACTGCCAAAGCAATTTCACACCAACTACAAAAGAATAAAAAAATGAGTCTTTACCAGCTCAGAACAATAAAATCTTGAAGTGGCAGAAAGGGGATCCAGTAGCTCCTAGTGGAGGGAAGAAGTAACAGCCTTTTGTAACCATAACCTTTACCTTTCTGTGAGGAATACAAATTCATTCCAGATTGTGCCTGACATCATAAGCACAATGCCAAACAGTAATGATGACTGATTAAATTCCTACCAGCAAACATTGGCTCTGGCAAGATAGTGCTGGTATTAGGCAAAGCCCTAGGTAGCACCAGTAATGTAAGAATGGCTGGGCATGGGCACGGGCATGGGTCCACCTGGCTGTCTAAGGGAGGCACTGGATTGAAGGGGGGGCTTCCCTCCCCCACCCCCATCTTCTGCTCCTCCCTGTACCCGACACCTTCCCAGCTCCAGCTGCAGCACCAATGTTGGGAAAGAGAGAGAAGCAGTGGTGGCATGCCGTGGAAGAGTGGCTGGAGGTTTGCTGCTGGTGGGCAAGGAGAGGGAGATGTCACCTCCTTTTTCTGCCACTGAAAACCAGTGTTGACACACATCCGCAGCAAAAAAGTGTGTCTATGGGGGGTACATCTTCCCCCTTGTAGTAACAAACTTTCAGCTGCTCCTATGCTTCATGCCACTGCTACTTCTCTGCCCTCCCTGCTGCCAGTGCCAGAGCTAGAGCTGGGAAAGTGCAAAGTGCAGGTCACAACACTGGCCAGTTATGCCTCTGGGTAGCATGCCAGGTGACAATACCTGTTAAACAAATGTGCTGGTTATGTTTCTAATATTGCTAATCTTCAGAACCAAATTAAGTGGGGATAGAGGGTTGGAGTTATTTTCCTGGATGGTGAACATGAGCCCTAACCCAGCACCACATGTAATTCCATGTGAGGAATCCCAATAACTTTAAAGGGACTATGCACACACTTATGGTTATTCTCAAATTATAAGGTTTGCTGAATTGGGGCCTTGGTGCCTTGGAGGTACTTGGTCATCAGTGTGAAAGTCTCAGGCAATCTGCCCAGCATCTGATGCCCCATGGTGGTAAGACCTGCCTCCCCACATTCTTTTGTCTCCCATTACCTCTTATCTCTCATGTACTATGACTTGATCTTTAGGTCTTTTAAATGGGGAGGCTGCCTCCAGAGGTCAGGGTAGCCTCTTTCTAGGTGCCTTTCCTTGGTGCAATCCTCCAGGCTTCTCTGCCCCAAACCCTATGGGGTGGGTTTCCCCTTTAAGACAACCCCATTTGTGCCTTAGGGGCAATAATCGTGACCTCTAGCAGCCCCGATAGTCAGGCCCTTGCCTCCAGATGGTACTTTGTCACCAGTTACTCCCTTGTATAGGCTTCAGCCTTCTTAGTCTTAGCCTACAGGTTACTCCAGCTGCAGAACAGTAGTCTAGGCCCACTGACTGTGGCCTGGCCCTTTCAGTCTCAATATCCTATCAGCCTCAGACTGCCTGCATCACCCCCTGTGGGCTCTGGCTCCAGCCCACTCAGCCTCAGCCTTTCTGTGCCTTGCACCCCTGCCCTTGGCAAGGCTCAAAACGTAGTGCGCTCCTCAGGCACTCCTGTAGTCTCCTTTCCACCCCCTACAGGCACATCTTATCCTCCTCTGCAAAACGCACATGCGTCAGCATAACCAAAGCATCAGCAGACTGCTTCTACAGGATGCATCTGCACGTGCAATTAATGCAAAGCAATAAATTTCAGAGCAGTTTGAGCCAGAGTAAACTATTCCCGGGTACAACATCTACATGTGCACCTGGGACAGCATCAGTTTACACCAGGAAGCCCGCTTCCCTGCTTTGCCCTGCCACAGCAGCCTGGGGGAGCTACAAAGTCTAGTTGCAGCTGCCTGCAGCCAGCCACAGCCACTTGGGTGCCAGGCCCGCTCTTTGCCCTGTGCTTTGTTCCCCAGCCACATGCTTCTCTGGCCCTGAGCAGTCTGGAGCCTGCTGACACAGCCCTCCAGGATGAGAGCCTGTGCCCGGCGTACCATAGATGCTCCTTGCCCTCCATCCAGCAATGGTGGCCAGAGCACCAGAGCTGCGAGATGCTCACAGACCACCTCCTCCACCAACCTGCAGAGTAGGGTGCCTGGGCAGCTGCCTACAAATGCCAAGCCCACACTGCAACAACAAGAACATGTACACTGTGGACAGTTTTCAATAAGCCCCAAACTTTATTTCCATCTCCAACATACCAACAGACCCCCCCTCCTTCCCTCCCTCCCAACAACAGCCATCCCTCAGCCCCAATGCACACCACCATTAAAACACCCTCACCCATGTGGAATTATTTACAGGCGTCTATTTACAAGGGTCAGGGGGGAACAGTGGGGAGGAGGCACCAAGGGTGTGGAGCCTGGAGGAAGGTGCCCAGTGCCCCCCACCACAGCCACCAGCATCTAAGTTCTGGGTCTCACAGCAATTGTGGTGGGACAGGGGCTGGCCTGGGGGATGAAGGCAGGCACTGTCCAGCCTGCTCACTCCACTCTTCCATGAGGCTGGGACCAGCAGGGCCCCTGTGGGGAGCCAGCCCTGCCATGCCCACCTCCCGCTCAGGGGCTGCATGGAGCCAGGGCGAACAGAGGACAGTGGGTGAAGCAGGGGGTCTGGAGAACCAGAAGCTGGTGCACAGGCTGGGGGCCCAGCCCACTGCAGGTGGCACTGCAACTGCCGCCATACCCACTGGGGGTCCCAAGGTAGGCCTGCAGGCAGCTGTCAAGGGGCAGCCAGGGCTGGTGCCAGGACCTGGATGTTGGGCATGACACCAAACACCACCAAGGCCAGCACAGAGTCTTTGATGTGCTGGTTGTCCTCAGCGGTGGCCACAGCCCATCACATTAGATCATGCTGGTCCTCTTGGGTCCCCACCAGCCTCTGCAGGAGGGTGTGGAGCACCTCACTCTCTGCCCGCCATGCCTCATGGTCTTCACGGTCTGACTGCTCCATGGCCTGCCACATCCTGCGAAACTCATGGAGCCAGCGGCGGTGCCAGGTTCGAGTCTCTTCAAGCCACTCCTCGGAGATGGTGACCAGCCGTTCAAGGAGAGCTGTCCAATTCTGGCTCTGGTGCTGACGGAGCTGGCGCATCTGGAGTGCACCTGCAGAAGCTGCAGGTGTCCTTGTGGCCTCATCTCCACTACTGCCGGGTGGTTCTCCCCCATGTCCAGCAGCTGGTGCTACAAAGCAAAGACAGAGGGACTAGTTGTAGAGTTTGCAACATTCCAAAAATAGCATGCAGTGTACAGAGGGGCTGTGCACCACCTGCCCTCAGTTTGGGGGTCATGTGCAGACAGAGACCCAGGCAGCCTGCCTTCCCCATACCCTACCCAGACTAGGCTATGATTGGTTCCTCCTTCTGCGTATGCTATGAGTGTCTAACCACTGCAACCAAGAAGATCACCGCTGCCTTTGACAAGTTTCTCCTCATGTGATGGGCTCCTAGATGCCCAGCTGGGAGCACACTGGGTGCTCAATAAAGTCTTGCCTCCCTACACATTAGGGGGGCAACTCTGGTGGATGGGAGCGAGCTTGGCCAGGCACAGGGGAGTCGAAAGGAAGGGAGGGGCCCCCACCCCCAATGTGGGGCCCCTGGCTTCAGACATGTAGGCTGCGGGTGAGTGGGTGAACTGCACAGATGAATGCAGCACTCCCTTCCCCCCAGACCTCCTCCTTATGCAAGGCTTACCGGGAGGGTGTGGCAGCCATTCCTGGCAGTCGGATGATATCCTTGGCCGTGGAGATGAGGTCCGGCTGGCTGATGCATCCTGGGACAGTGAGGCACAGTGGGTAGCTGGCTGAGCAGTGGTCCCCTCTTGTGATGAGCTGGAGCTGATATCCACAGTGGACATCCCTGCCCTCTCCTCCCTGCAGGTGGGCCGCTTGTGGAATAGCCGGGGCAGGTGGTGACCTGGGCTGCCTGAGTTGCCAGGTGAGACTGAGAGTGAGGAGCACACCAGGACCTGATGTGGGAGCCCCGAGGTGCCCTCACCTGGAGAGTCCTCCTGGTCTGGGGCCCCTGGCATGGGCTCCTTCAGCCCACCTGTGCTGCAGAACACGTGAGGAGCCTCACCAGGATCCATGGGGACCAGGATCCTCTCAAGCTCACGGAGGAAGGGCATGGTTCTAGGGGCAGCCCCAGGCTGCCTATTATGGTCCCGAATGCGGAGATATTGTGCCCTCAGGGCCTTGGCCTTCACCCGGCACTGGTGGCCAGACCTCCGGTGACCACGCTTTTGCATCCTCCGGGCCATGTCTTCGAACACATGGGCATTGGCCCTGGTAGCACAGGCAAATTGCCGTTGGACCTCAACGTCCCCCCAGATGGCAATGAGGTCAGAGGTCTCCTCATGCGTCCAGTTCGGCCCCCGTCCTTGGGTGTCAGCAGGCGTGGGGCCTGACATGGTGGCAGCTGGAGGCAGGCTCCGTGGGCAGTCGTGGGGTTGAGGCAGCTCTGGTAGATGACGGCGGTTGGCAGCAGACTCGGGGCAGGCCCAGGAAGCAGGTGGTGGTGTGGGGCTGCAGCTGGCAGCGGCAGTATGGTCTGGTGTCCAGGGAGCAGCTCTGGGCTGGCAGAGGCACGGGGGTTGTGAGTCCCAGGCTCCAGTCAGTAGCATCAGGTGGCAGAGAGGCTGACTGGGGCACAAGGGTGCTGCACATGGAGCTGTATGGCTAGATGGCAGGCAGGAGTCTGGCTCCCCACTGGCTGTGCTAACTGGGTGCAATTTACACCTGCAGTCAGCATCTACACATGCGTTTAATCACAGTAAATTTCTCTGTCCCTGACAGAACTATCATATTGAAGCATAAATTAATTTATTGTAGCCTAGTAGCACTGCATGTGTAGACAGCGAAGCTTTACTGTGCAGCAAGTTAGTCTACTCTTGCAGTAAAGTGCACATGTAGAGGTGGCCAAAAAGTCCTTCCCTGCTCTGAGTCAATGCCCTACCCAAGCTATAGTTTCCAGTGCTAGGCTCACTCTCACAAGTTGATTCTGAGGGTGTTTCTCAGCCTCCTTTCTGCAGTCAGGTTCCCCAAGGAGCCCCTCTCCCTGCAGCACGCAAGATCTGACTGTACCTTCTGGCTGAAGCTCTGGGTTTATGTGCCTCATGGCCCTGCCCCCTTTCTGCCATGTGGCTCCCCAGCCACACACAGGAGTTTCCCCTTTTTAATTAAGGGCCAGCCTGTGCTCCTGCTGCTGCAGCCCCACACAGCCAGCTTAGCTTGCTACCTTCTCATAAAGTAACAAGAAACCTCTGGCTGCCTGTTACAGTCAGCCATAAAAAATTAAGTCTCATGCCTGTCTGAAATCCTGAATCTATAGAAAGTTCCATATTTCTGCCACATGGGAGTGCGGAGCAAGAAGCTATTCCCCTAAGTATCATAGAGTACAGCGATGGTTCTCTCCCCATTAGTACCGAAAGAGACAATTGCAGGCAATTAGGCAATTGTTAGGGCATGGCCACTAAATTGATTTATTTAATGCAAGAATACAAAGCTGTGTTTGTTATGCTTCCCCTGAAGCTGTGTATTAGCTGCCTTGGTGCAGCTCCAAGGTTCTAGGGTGGAGATTTCTGGCCAAGATTTTCAAAACTAAATGCCTACAGTTAGTCTCCTAAGACCACAAATAGGAACCTAAATGTGTGGCTGGTTAGCAGAAGTGCTGAGCACAATGCAACTTTCAGTGGAGACATGGTGCCTTGTACCACCTAAGCATCTAATTCCCTCTGGATTACTGACATATGAAAAATAAATTGAGGGACACATTCCCTTTTCTAAAAAACTTGTGTTTACAATATAAAAGGCACTGTTAAGGCATCATCACTAGCGATCTCAGTGGTATGGAGAAAATCTGTGAAGCTTAGACTATTTTATCACTTCATGCCATCCTTGCTTCATGGCTAAAGGGAAAACCTTATGGGTGGTTATGCTGTCAACATGGTGCCTTCGCAATTGCTACACCTTTTTTGTTAAATAAAAATAGGTAAGTGTGAGCTTTGATTCCACTCTCCTGTCAGAGTTCTGTCTGAACAAGGGAGCAGTAAGGACTTCCAGGTGGGAACCCTAGGACCTACTGCAAGGCTCACTGGGATCAGTGCGCAATATTCCAATGATTTTAATGAGCTTTGGATCAGGTTCCCGTACTGTAAACTGCCAGGGCAAGTATATATTCCCCGTTAAGTAAAATTATTCTTTTCTGTAGTACTGAATACACTGACAACAGCAAAAACTGTCAGTACCCCTAACAGTATGCACATGACCTCCACTAATGCTATTTAGAGCCCTCAAATTCAGGAGACCAGACGTGGGCTAGATTTTGCTTTTCCTTAATTATGTTACAATACCCTTTCAGTAATTCTATTTCAATTACTGGCACTATTCATGGAGTAAAATATGACTCAATGGACACGTCTGAATGTGCCGAGTTAAGGCGCATTAGCAATTTTTAAGACACATTAAGGGCTCAGGTCTACACAGGTGCAACCTTAATGTGCCTTAAATATTGCAATTTTAGGCTATTCATGCCTAAATTTTCATACCTACAAAAGCAGATATCAAATTTAGGTGTGAATAGCTAAAGCACATTAATGCATGTATAGACATGCTAAGGTGCATTAACGCTGCATATGTCGACTGACTGGGGACTGACTCTAGTCCAAAGTCAGTCCACACACTACATTAATGTGCCTTAGCATGTGCACATGTAGACATGCACCTAAATTGCCTTAATGCGCATTAAGCAAATGCACATTAAGTTTAGGCGTGCATAAAAACATGTGTAGACATGCCCAATGTAAAGATAATGGAATCTGGACCCTTCTGTTTTGGACAGTGCTGTGTGTGCTTTCCATCTCCTGAGAAATCCTATTAGTAATTGTGGCCAGTTTACTTTTTGTGTTGGTAGGGGGTATGGAGGGGAGGGATTCCTCTTATTCACCCGTATAGATGAATCCCCACAAATACTTTGCCTATTCTGGAGTTGAAATAAATTTTCATACATCAAAACTTGCATACTAGATTTTGAGAAGTATAAATCCAAATCTACTATTCATGCAAAAAAGGATCAGATTGGATTATTTTGTAATCCCTATCTCCAGGCAATATTGTATAAACAACTGTAAATAGAAATCACCATTTAAATCAATTAGTTCTACCTAAAAATCTATGGCAATACTTATCCCATAGGAAGAAGGTAGTTCCTGGGAGTAATAGAAAGACCAGCTTTATGAATCAGTTGTTACTGTGCAGTCATTTAGTATTTGCATACAAAAGTATGCATCCCAGAATGGCTCTTTCATGATGCTGACTGCGCAGTAGCTTGTTACTACTGTGCAGTAGCTTGTTAGTAATGTGCAGTAGTATCACTTCATGCTTCGTGTCATGCAACACTACTGCACAGTAGTAACGAGCTACTTCACAGTCAGCATCTCGTGTAGACATGGCCACTGGTTCTTGCAATCAGCAATAAGGTGGGCCTCTTAAAATACATTTCATGCTCCAAGCTATAAGAAGCTGCTTGTAGTCAGAGGCAGGAGAGATGGAGAAGATGTGAAGTATTGGTTTATTTAATACAAAAGTCCATTTTTAAGTGGAAAAATAAGTAGCTTTAACCAGACTTCAGTTACTTTGATATCCTGCTGTCTAAAAATAGAGGCTTGCTTTGCTCACTAATTTCCTATGGTTTTAACCTAAACACCAATCTGACAACAGAGAGCAGATTGACATGACTACAAATCGCAGACAACACAATATTTTTAAATGGTTATGAAGAGGGCCAGAAATAGCTTTTATTCTATTCACCTAAATTCATTAGTGCAGCAGCTCTCCTGGTAATGCTACCAATCTAAAGCTGCCATTCAGCAACAGTGAGCTTCTGGCTTTTAATCACTTCAAGTAAATGAGGTATTCTAGTTACCAACAGGGGAACACTTGCCAATCATAGAAGAGAAGAAAGCAGACCTACTGCAGGGCATGAAATTAAATTTTCCAGGTAGTAGCAAGTAATTGATACCACAATGTGACCTTAGCCTAAAGCAGCCAACTTAAAGCAGTATGGAACAGATATTGGGACAGGACAATGCTGTGACCACCAGAAACTCTGCTTCAGAAAGGAGTGATTCCAGCAGCATTTTGCATTTCTGCTTGCAGGTTGCTTTGTGCTTTCTACCTGTTCCCTGGGGCGAGTCTCTAATCTAATGTAGAGAGGCCCAAAACATTTTGTACAGTGTGGGGTTGGTTTTTTTCCTCTTTTAAAGTAGACTTGTTAGTTCATCCACATGCAGAAATAAAGTCTCAACATATGTGTATACAGACCAGCAATGAATGACATCTAGTTCTATGATTAGTGTATTACTTGTAGGGAGTAACATCTCTTCCCTCCATTGCCTGACATTTCCCACCCCTCTACCTCCATGGTAGTTCCATTATGAAATGTGCCCCATCCATTGCATGATAACTCCAGAAAATGAAGCAGAAGCCCTTGATGTACACCCAAAGCTGGTCATAGACTCTGTTTTAGGTGTGCTTATTGGCATGGGCTCAAGGATGGTCCAAGACAAGTACATTGTTTCACCTCTGGGATTTGGGTGCCCTGAGCAGGGAAGGGGGAACATGCTTCATGGAGGCGTTCTTGGGTGTGCCATGGAGACAGTGCAGACAGGCTGCTAAGGACTCTTTCAGGTAATCATCATTCTGAACACTGGGGTTCAAAACACTGCAATCCACCCAGGTGCGGAGAGATGTCTGAACTTCTATTGACCACCATATAAGCTGAAGTAGTTTGGCTGTTTGTAAGATCCAGACCTAAGCACCTGAGCCAGAGCCTACTGAATCCAATAAATCTTTTCATAGAACCTGGGTCAGGGTCTAATGGCTAGTTCCTATATTGATGAAGTTGAGGGAAAGGTCAGGCTATAAAACTTGATTCAAGGTACTTAACTGCATGCCTAACACATATATGAGTAGACCTATGAATAGCATTGCCATTCAAGCTTTTGCTTAGAAATCAAGATTTGGACTCAATCTATGAGATCAGTCTATGAGCTTTCCTACATGATTTCCTACATGATTCTTCCTACATAATATTCCAATACAATGGGGTGACTTTGGTGCTTAAAATTACACATGCAGTTAAGTACCTTGCTGAAGCAGGACCTAAATGAGCAGAAACAACTCAGTGCCATTGTATCGCCCTTGGCCAAAATCTGGAACCAAATTCCCAGGGAAGTGGTCCTCGCCCCTACCTTGGGCAAATTCAAGAGGAGGTTGGATGATCACCTGTCTGAGGTCTTGTGAACCCAGCATCCATTCCTGCCTGTGACAGCGGGTCAGGCTAGATGATCTGATCAGGTCCCTCCTGACCCTAGCTACTATGATACTATGATACTATGACATGGACAATCAACAGTGTGCTGTGTTTCAGATCTAACAGTTTCACTCCAGGTAACTGTACTGCATTGATGGTGTTCCACATTCTCAGTTTTTACTGATTTTCACACATTAATTCCCTGCTTTTTTAAAGTCATCCAGTTTTTACTGATTTACACCCGTTTTTCAGTTCAAATCTGTTAACCGGAATTGCCCATTCCGCACTCATGCCGGTTAACAGGGATTTGAGCTGAAAAACAGATGGTGCTAGTAAGCTAAAAGTGCCGCTGTGACAGTTACATGAGGCA